AGAACCACTGAGCTAAATCCCTGGTCCAAAATACCATGTCTTGCTGAGAAGAATGTGTATTCTGTTGTTGGATGAAACATTCTATAAATATTTAAATCCATTTATTTGAAGGTTTGGTTCAATTCCAATTTTTTTTTTTTTTTTGAGACAGGGTCTTGCTTTGTAGTGCAGACTGGGCTTGGACTTGCTATGTAGCTCAGATTGGTCTCAAACTCATGGTGATTGCTGTGGTTTGAGTCTAGATGTCTCTCCAAAGTCTTATGCAGTCTTTTTTGAAGGTAGCTAAATCTGGCATGTATGATGCTAGGATTAAGGGCGTGTGATTACTAAACCACTACATGTGAGTGATTGGTTTGGTACCACCCCAATCCCTGTAGTCTGAATAAAAGGAGCAGGGCCAGGGAGCAAGTGGAAGGTCCTAAGTTTGATCTCCGGTACAGGGAGAGGGGTGTGGGGGGTCAGAAAGACACTGTTAGGGTCCCTTGTTACCTTTGCTACCTTGTGTGTGCCATGTTGTTTCTCCTCTGTGATGCCTGTTTGCCATCCCTGCCTTGGAGCCAGCTGATTATGGAACCTCTATGAACTATGAGCTAAATAAACCCTTTCTCCTTTAACTTTGGGTGTTGGGTATTTTTGTCTCAGCAATGAGAGAAAAGTAACTAACACAGTGATCTTCCAGCCTCAGCCTCCCAAGTGCTGGGATTACAGGCATGAGCCACCACACCTGGCTTCAACTCTGATATATCTTTGTTGATTATTTGTCTAGTTGATCTCTCCATTTGTGACAGTGGGGTTTTGAGGTTCCCCATTACAACTGTATTGATATTTATCTGATTTTTCATATCCATTAGTGTTTGTTTTACGAAGTTTGGTACACCAGTATTTGGTGTGTATAGTTTATAATTGTCAACTCCTCCTGTTGAATTGTTCCCTTAACTAATATGTAGTGACCTTCTTTGTCTAGTCTGATCATCTTGGCTTGAAATCCACTTTGTTTGAATTTAAGATAGCAACTCCTGCTGTTTTCTGGGTTCCTGTTGCATGAAATATTGTTTTCCATCCTTTAATTTTTAATCTGTGTTTCTTTTTGAATTAAATGTGTTTCTTGTATACCACATATCATTGAGTTTTGTTTCTTGATCCACTCTCCAATCTGTGTCTTGATTGAGGAATTGAGACCATTCATATTAAGAGTTATTACTGAGAGGTGTTAATTTATCCCTGTCATTGCATTATTTTCCTGTTGCTGATTTCTTTTACTTAATTGCCCATCCAGCCAGTTGTATTCATTCTTTTTTACTTATTGGCCTTGTTTGCTTCATTGTTTCTCTCTAGGACATCCTTAAGAATTTTTTGTAACACAGTTTAGTGGTCATAAATTTCTTCATTGTTCCTTGTTACGGAAATAACTTATTTTTCCATGAATTTTAAAGGAAAGTTTTGCAGGATACATAAGCTGGGGTTGGAAGTTATCTTTTAGGGCTTGAAACACTTCACTCCAAGTTCTCCTGGACTTTAAGATTTATTCAGAGGAATCTGCTGTATTTATAATGTATTTACCTTTATATGTGACTCATTGCCTTTCTCTAACAGCTTCTAAGATTTTGTCCCTGTGATGGACTTTTAGTACTTTGAGCATAATGAGCCATGGAGAGGTTCTCTTTTGGTCATGGCTATCTGGGGTTTTGTATGCCTCAATTATCTATGTGTGTATTTCTTTCCCTATATTTGAGGAGTTTTCTGCCATTATTTCTGTCAACAGACTTTTTATGCAATTTGTGTTGTCCACTGATTTTTCACTTATTTCAGTTATTCTTAGGTTAGCCTCCTTTGTATCATCTAGCAGTTGTTGGATCCATTTTTCCTGTTCTCTTGTTGTTTTTAAGGTGTCTTTGAGTAGTTGGTCTTCGAAGGCATCATTGTCTTCTAGTTCTGAAATTCTATCCTCACAATGGTTAGTTCTGCTGCCCATACTTTCAGTATGATTTTTAATCTCCTGGATTTCTGATTGAAACATTTTCATGGACTCTAATTCATTGGTAAACTGGTCATTCATGTTTTTATATCATTTTGTTTAACTCATCTAGCTTTTTATTAGTGTCTTCTGAAAGATCCTGCATCTTTTTGGTTATTACTTCCATTATCTGTTTAGTTATATCTTCTCTAATCCCATTGAATACCTCTTTGAGCTGTTTCTAACCTCCTCTGTTATATTTTTGAGTAATTCAGGTGTGTGTCTTATGCCACTGATGGTGAACCTTTTAAAGACTGAGTGCCCACATTATAACCCCAAACTCACTTATTTACAGTACAGTGCCAACACTTCATTTAAACCTGGATACTGAGATGTTAGTTTAGAAAAAAACAACTGTTATCCAATGCTCTGGTGCCGGGGTAACTTGGCTCATTTGCCCACAGAGAGGCCTCCGCTTGCCACTGTGGCATGTGTGCCATAGGTTTGCCACTATAGTCTTATGCTATTTTGCCCCTTGATGCCCCCTGGATTGACTTTGGGGAAATGGGCAGTTTGGGGAGGCATTTTGTTGCCTTGTGTTTTCATTATGTATTGTTTTTTGTTTGCTTGTTTTGTGCTGAGGTTTGTGATTCTTATAGTCTAAAAACTTTGTTGCTAGTATAGAGATCTCTTTAGTTGCTTTTCAGTGATGTACTTTGGATGTGGTTAAGTATCATCCTTTGCCACAGCCCTAAGATCCAGCAACCTTGGTTAATTTGAGGGGTATATGAAGTGTGGTTACTGTGGTAACAAATCTTTGGGCATATTCCCTAGTATTGTTAATGTCACAAATGAGTGTTGGCTTAAAAAGAGATGGCAACAATTATGTGACCCTGTTAATATCAAGCAGATCAATAGTAGTATTGTTCAAGACAAATTAGATATTAACATACCATAAGAACCAATTATGTACCACTCTTAATCCTAGAGAAGAAATCCATAATTATGTTGTAAATGTTAAGACAATTCTGGTATTGACTTACAGCTAATGCATACTAAATGTGACAGCTATATCTCTGCAAATAGTAGAAAAGAATTCAACATTAATTTTACAGAGCTAACTATCAAAAGATTAAGAAAGCTTTATGGTTATACTATTAAAGATATAGGGTTTGAGTATGGGGAATGCAAGAAGAAAATTTGAAACCTTAAACTATGATACGAGAAGGGGGAGGCAGAAGTGGTACAAAGGATCTTACTGGTGAGTAGAAGGGTATCTATAGAATGAAGTAAAAGTAGTAAAAAACTGGCAAGAAATAGAAGTTAAAAGAAAAAGAGCAAGAAAAAGGAAGTAAAAAAAGAAACTAAAGGGAGAAAAATTAAAAGGGAGAAGAGGAAAAAATTTTAAAAAGAAGAAAAAAAGATAAGAAGCAAGGCAGAAGGACAAAGGACAATTTCCCAAGCCCCAGGAATCTGTTGAAAGAAAGAGGGAAGGAGGGCCAGGGATTTAGCTCGGTGGTTTCACTGCCTGCTAAAAAGGAGGGAAGAAAAGACGAGAAAAAGAAAACAAAAAACCATAACAAACCAAAAAAACTAAAAACACACTCACCAAAACCAAAACAACAAAACCAAAAACAAGAAGAAATTTCTCTGTGATTTTGAACCTGTGGTTTTCTTCCTGGATCTGCAATTTTGGGGCAGTATCCAATTCAAGATGTGTCCCTGTTCACACTGGTAGATAAAGAAGGCAGTCATAGCACAAATCCATGCTGGATACAGTCACTAGCAGGCAATAGTTAGGGCGAGGGTGCCGATTCTTTGACTTTCAAATCCACAGTGATTGAGGCTGACTCTGGCTTCTGCCTGTGGGGTGGGGCCTGAGTCCTTTGGTTTAAACCCCTCTTGTAGTCTCTTGCCAGCCTGAGCACAGCTCCCTGACCACAGCTGTCTCCCGTGGCTGTCCCTCACTCAGTGACTGTGGGATTGTAATACTTTGAGCCCTGAAATGAAGCCAGCCCATGGGTGCTCTGAATCCCAGGTTCAATTGACCCCTCCCTCAATGGAGTCTGATCACTCTCTCCAGGGGATATGTCAGGTGCTTGGACTACAGTTAACTCACCAGCTATTGGCAGCAGACCTTGTCATTTCCACTGCTGTGTTTCCCTGGAGGCCTCTGAAATCCTCTGCTTTCACTTTGTCTCTGTAGATTTGGTCTTTTTTCCTTCATGAAGCTGGGAGACGGGGAGAAAGTGTAGATTGCCCCTTTCTTTTTCTGTGTTGTGTTCTGCCTTTCCAATTTCTCTATAGGCTCCAATTTTCCTGTCAGATCCTTCATGGGCCCTGGGGATCCACTTCCTTCCTTCTTTTCTTCCCCAAGTTGTTATTTCCCAGCGTCTGTATTCTGGATCTTAGAAAGGCTGAGTTGTTGCTTAGCACTCAGCCATTTTCCTGGAAGTCCCCTATCTATGAAGTTTCTGACACAGATCTTTTACAAGTCTTCAACTCTGGTTGGAAATGGTATATTTTGCCTTATATATATATTTTTTTTCTTTTTCTTTCTTTTTTTTCAGTACTGGGGATCGAATTCAGGACCTTGCTCTTGTAAGGCAGGTGCAGTGCCACTGAGCTAAGTCCCCAGCCCTCCTTATATATATTTTTTGACTTTGCTTTATATATTTTGAAGTTATAAGGAAAAATGATTTACGATATCTTTTCTCAGATTTTGTTTTGTTTTGGTTTTTGAGTCAGGGTCTCCCTTTGTAGTTCAAGCGGGTCCTGAAATCACTATGTAGCCCAGGCTGACCTTGAACTCTCAGTGATCCTCCTGCCTTCAGCCTCCCAAGAGTGCTGGGATTAGAGGTATATGCCACCATGCCCAGCTCTTTTCTCAGTAGATTTTAAATAGTGGTTATGCAATAGTTCCTTTTGTTATATTTAATTTTTTGTGCTTTCAATTTTTTTTTTTCTGGCATTAATTCATTGCTCTAATTGCTTTCATTTTGGATAATATTTTATTTTTAAATCCCTTTGTGATGGTTAAACTTGATTGTGTCATCATGATGGGCTTGGGAGCCATCCAGGAGATTGGGTGTTTCTGACTGGGTAATGGATTTGTGATCTTGGGTACTGTATATGGTCCCTAGTTCCTTCCTCTTTGACACTGTTCCCCTGCTGTGCTTCCCAGTTGCTGTGGACTATACATCTTTGCTCCACCATTCCCTTCTGCTGTGGTATTCCTGCCTAAGAGACTGCAAGCCATAGACTGAATTCCCTGAAACTGTGAGCCAAGTTAAACCTCTCCTTTTTAAGCTATGGGTGTTGAGCATTGTGCCCCAGCAACAGGAAAGTTGACGAATGTACCATTTTATAGGACTTCAGTTTGAGGTGGTCATGATGGTACACACCTGCAATTTCAGCTCCTAGGGAGGCTGAGGCAGGAGGATCACAAGTTTGAGGCCAGCTTGGGTGACTTAGTGAGACCCTAACTCAAAGTAAAATATTTTTTTTGGTACTGGGGATCAAACTTGGGTCCTTGCACTTCTAAGGCAGGTGCCGGAACCACTGAGCTAAATCCCAGGCTAAGTAAAATTTTAAAATGGGCTTGGGATGTGGCTCAGTGGTAGAGTGCTTGCCAAGTATGTATGAGGCCCTGGGTTCAATCCCTATGACTGCAAAAACAAAACTTTTGAAATAATTTCAGGTTTACAGATAGTTAAAAATAGTACAAAGAATTCCTATATGCCCCTTACCAGTTCCTCAAATATTAGCATTTTATAATCATTTTATTGTTCTCTCTCTCTCTCTCTGTCTGTCTGTTGCTCTCTCTCTGTATGCATGTGGCTATACACACATTTTTTCCCTGAAAATTTGAAAAGTAGATTGCAGATATTCTTTACTTTTTTTTTAGACACAGTATTGCTGTGTAGTTCAGCCTTGACTTGAACTTACTATGTAGCCCAGGATGGTCTCAAACTCACAGTGATCTTCCTGCCTCAGTCTCCAGAGTGCTGGGATTACAGGCGTGTGCCACCACACCTGGCAACTCTTTACTTTTTAAAAAAACTTTTGTTTGTTTATTTTGAAACAAGGTCTGACTTCTAACTCTCTAGCCTCCTGCCTCAGCCTCCAGAATGCTGAGATTACAGTTGTGGGCCACTATGTTCAGCCACTTTTATTGCATGTAATTCTGTTTCTATTGCTTAAAAACAAGGACATAAAATCAGGAAATTAGTATTGATAGAAAACATTTATTCTACAAAATTTTTAAAAAGGTGTTTCTGCTAAGATTACATGTTGCATTTAGTTGTCATGTCCATTTTTTTCTTGAAACATTTTGCCTGATTGTGTTTTAAGTGCATCTCTTGTATGTAGAATATAGCCAGATGGGATTTTTTAAACTCAAACTAATTTTCTTTTTAGTTTTATTTATAGAATTTAAGCCATTCATATTGTTAGTATTGCTAATTGGACTTTCCCTTGTCATAGCATATGCATTTTTTGTTACGGTTTAACAAAACCTCAACACCTATTGGTGGGGCTTTTGGAGGCACTATACTGATCACTGGATTGTTAGGAGATGGGGCCTGGCTGGAAGAGGTGGGTTACTGAGACAGCATTGACTAAGACAGTTTGGGTATCAGAGAAGTGGGGCTGTTGCTGTTGTGATTCTACCCGACTGTGTGGGTTCAGAAACCTTTGAAACTGGTTCACCGAAAGAGTTTGGAAAGGTCTATAGATGGCCAACTGGAAAAACAGCCCTAGAATGCTGTGAACTGAGCCTAATGGGAGATTCTGATCAGAGCTCAGAAGAGATGTGATGAGGACCAGGCTCAGGAGGTTTCAGTTGGTAACAAGGACTCCGCTGGGTGTTGGACTCCCAGGCCATGTATGCTGTGCTCTGGTAGAAAGTTTGTCTATATTTTGCTCATGCGCAGAGACTTTGCAGAAGACTGAGATTAAGGGGGCAGACTAATTAGTCTGGCAGAAGAAAGTTCAAGGCAGCCCAATATTCAGGCTGTGACATCAGTACTCTTGGGAGCTTTTATTCAGCTGAATGATTTTTAAAAATCTATTTTGAATTTCACCAGAAAGGAAGCTCCTGAAAAGTCAAGGCTCCTGTGAAGGGCCCAGCTACTGCTGGAGCTGGCAGCAGATCTTGGTGTTATCTACATTATCTATGTGGTGGTAGTTTTGCAGGCATGATGAATGCAAGAATTGTGGAGTTGGAAAGGCTTCTATCTAGATTGCTAAAGAAGGCTTGGGAGGCCAGACAGTGTGTCCCTAAGTGGGCAGTACATGAAGCTGTGAGAGTAAGGCTGAAAGTGCAGTGGAGACTCCAGGAAATCGGAGAAGGCAGGAATGTGAAACGTCTGAGCAAAGTTGTAGATGAGCAAAGCCAGCTCAAGAGGGAAGACATGAGGGCCAGAACCACTGGCAGTGCCATAGGGGAGAGCAGGGCTGCCCAAGGTCTTTGGAGTCTGCATCTTGCCATAACCAGACCCAAGTGCTCGACATGTTGCCATGCTATCCTGCCTTGGAACCAGCAACTGTGGACAAAATGTAAATCTGAGCCAAAATAAATCTTCTTTCTCTGAATCATGGGTGTTGGGTATTTTGTTCCAGTGACTAAGACATTTTCTATTTAAAACTTTTATCTTTACTTTTCTTTTTTCTTTCCTGCCTCTTATGGGGTTGATGTATTTTTTTAAAAAAAGATAAATATACCATGAAACTATATTAGTATCTTCACTTTAAACTCAGGATATGGAGTTTTTAATTAATCTCATGTATTTTTCTTCATGCCAAAAATCCCAATTTCCATTAGCACCACACCAATACAATAATTCATTGGCTTTATCCTAGACATACATACAGTAATCTCAATGTACTAATACCAAAACTTCCACCAACAAAGTGATTACTGAGAATAATTTAAGATTTTTATTTTTTTCAGTACTGTTTTCTTCAGAGTATATTATACTAATGATGTACAGTATTATTATTATTATTATTATTATTATTATTACCAGGGATTGAACTCAGGACCTTGGCACTTGCCAGGCAGGCAAGGTGCCACTGAGCCACATCCCTGGCCCCAAAGTATTATGTTTTAAAACACTCAAAAATATTCTTTTCTGCCAGGCATGTTGGCATGTGCCTGTGATCCCAGCACTCTGGGAGACGGAGACTGAGGCAGGAGGATTGACTATTTGACTCCAGCCTAGGCAACTTGGTTATTTAGAGAGCCTCTCTCTCTCTCTCCCTCTCCCTCTCCCTCTCCCTCTCCCTC